GTGGTGCATTCCACTCCATTTAAATATTTTTTTTATCAGTGTATGAAGGCAGGAAAATGGTACCTACTTTGCTTAGTACAAAATTTTGAACTTCAAAACTGGCAAAAAGTCTATGGTTCTGACCAAGGACTACTACACACATTGTAATACTATTGTATGAAACAATTATGGGCATATCATTTGTTGATGCCACTAAAGCACCAGCATTTTCATAGTGTAGGCGATCGCCTCTGCTAGCAGAGGCTGGACATAGGCTATGCATGTCCTGTGTGTAGTAGTCCTTGTATCAAACTGAAAATATGAACTTGTGCTTTATGATGCAGAGTTTGAAGCAGTTGTGAAAGTACGGCCCATAATAGAAATTAAGAAATGTCTAAGTTAGTTCGAAGTAAGTTAATGTGAATTAATGATGATAGTAGTGTTAGTTAATTGTTCAGAATTTTACAATGTTGCTCCAAGGGACTTAAAAACTTGGCGCATCGACAAATTGATATTTTTCAAGAGTATAAGTGTACAACTGCTCACACACAAGGTGCGTTTATTGCATCTTTTAACTTGCATAGAAAATGTTGGTTACGAAAATAAAATTGTAAATATGCTCTAGTTGAGTTTTACTGTCGGTATTTGCAAGGGAGTTTTTATATTGCAGAAAACAAGTGAAACATTATCATACTTTGCACGTAGTGCGCATTGAGCTTCACTGGTCGAGCAGGTCAAAGAAAATTAATCTTTCTTGATATTGAACAACATATGAGCAGATAAGTCAAACATGAAATTTTCCAGTTTCTGGGAGTTGACTTCAATTTTTTGTTACAAATAAGGCCAGTACGTCATGACTAAAGTCATTTAGGGTTCAACAATACGCCAACAGAACCTCAATGAAACATATTAGAATTTTATTGAATCTAAAAGCTCGTCGCACCGCGAATCTCATTTCGTGAAATGTTAAAACTAAATTTGTTCATAAATTTCCTTCCGACTCGGCTGGTTATTATTATTTCAACGAGACAACAAAGCAAGAAATTTTGGTGTCAGCGTGCACAAACTAGCCAATGAGTCAAGGCCGAATATTCAGCAATGCTTACTTAAGTGGATCCGCTTTAAAACTTGATGGGACCGTTGATAAATGATTGAGTTAGGCGCTGCGCTGGAAAGTGACCTCGCGATCGTGGAATTCAATCGTGCAGTTAAAGTGCTATGAGAAATGCGATCGTGAAGTTTGAGTGTGATTGGGGTATGCAATCGTGAAGTTAATGAGCCGCGAGAAATGTAATCGTGAAGTTAATGAGCCGCGAGGAATGTAATCGTGAAGTTAATGAGCCGCGAGGTATGTAATCGTGCAGTTAATGAGCCGTGAGGAATGTAATCGTGATTAATGAGCCGCGAGGAATGTAATCGTGAAGTTAATGAGCCGCGAGGAATGTAATCGTGAAGTTAATGAGCCGCGAGGAATGTAATCGTGAAGTTAATGAGCCGTGAGGAATGTAATCGTGAAGTTAACGAGCAATGGGGACTGCAATCATAATGTTAAAGTGTTATTGAGGAATGCAATCGTGAAATTAGAGTGTTATTGTGGAATGAAATTAGAAGTGACAGGCCATTGAGGAATGCAATCGTGAAGTGAATATGCATTGGAGGAATGCAATCGTGAAATTAAAGAACAATGAGAAATGCAATCGCCAAGTGAACGCGCAATCCTGGAAGCCCAAGGCTACGAAACTTTCGTTGCTAATGCCTTGTGAAAGATGGGTGAAGGGTGGCGAGAGTTAATATTACGTTAAGCCATTTATAGGGAGAACTTCCGCGGCGCGGGAGAAATGGACATGTTAATGATACCAGAAACAATAATGATCTCTGAAACATTAATGATCTCTGTAACATCCGAGAAAGCTGGATTCAATTGGGTTTGCGTTAAATTGTACTTAGTTTATTCGGTTTTGAAGAATGTTTTTGAAATTATAAAGGTTTAAGTGAATTTCAAAAAACTATTTAATGTAATCAAAGTCAATTAAACAATATAAATGTTATTTTCTAAACAATCCGTATCAACATATATATGAATGGCAGGTGTGTTACATATATAAAAATGGCAGGTGTGTTACATATATATAAGAGTGGCAGGTGTGTTACATATATAAGAATGGCAGGTGTGTTATATATAAGAATGGCAGGTGTGTTACATATATAAGAATGGCAGGTGTGTTACCTATATAAGAATGGCAGGTGTGTTACCTATATAAGAATGGCAGGTGTGTTACCTATATAAGAGTGGCAGGTGTGTTACCTATATAAGAGTGGCAGGTGTGTTACCTATATAAGAATGGCAGGTGTGTTACATATATAAGAGTGGCAGGTGTGTTACCTATATAAGAATGGCAGGTGTGTTACATATATAAGAATGGCAGGTGTGTTACATATATAAGAATGGCAGGTGTGTTACATAATATAAGAGTGGCAGGTGTGTTATATATATAAGAATGGCAAGTGTGTGAATGGCAGGCCCCGACTTATTTCATCTGGTCCTCTGTTGACCTATTATCGTTGCCGTTCATTCAGAGCTCCTGAGTTGCGTTGGCTTTTCAATGCATTTGCATATAAATTGTAGTGTCACTCGTGCAAAAATCGAACTCATGAAACGCGCAGTGTATCTGCCGAGCCGAGACATTGCTACGAAGCATCAGTCGGTTAAGCTGAGCTGACCTGTTATGCCTGATCAATTTTTTATACGCTAGGTTGACCTAGCGCTTATCGGTCTCAAGCTCTGGTGCAGCCCTAGGTCAACTTGCTAGTCTCAATATTGTGCGATATGAAATCAAACTAAAATTTACGTGAAATGAAAAATAATTTCACTTCAATTTTCACAATCTTTCTATTGTATTATGTTTTAGTGAAAACTTATTATCTTGCAAATAGTTCGACCATAAGTAATATCATCACGAAATCTCCATATACACTGACACCTCGTGTGTCGCGATGACTGATGAAACAGTAGTCTGCTGCAGGCGACAGGATGCAATTTGCTTGGTGCGTCAGGTGCTAGAAATATCCTCCGGGTGATTGACGGCGTTTTTAGCAAACT